TTATCCTTTGGCACCTAAAAGAAAGTAAATTTCAGCATATACAGTATAAAAATACTCTGTTAAGACCAGACAGTGGCAATGACTGCAGTCAGCATTCCCCACACAGAAAGAAATACTTGGCCTGGAGGAGGGTAGCAACCCAATTTTATCCATTCCTGTCCCATTGCTCTATGCTTTGTGGTGGCCCTGAATGCTTGGGCAAGAGATCTGTTACTCAACTTTGGTTTCCACTCATTGTAAAATAAAAGGTGGCAAGGATTTCAAACCACAGACCCAACTTTCTAAACAGGTTTGCAGAGCTTCTTAAGAAGCCAGGTTCAGAAGTCATTGTTCCTTTGTTCCCAGACATGGAATGTTGAATTCGTGAGGACACCCTCCAGCCTCCAGTCTTCCAAAATGTGCTTCTTCCTCAAGAGCTCCACAGTGGACCTGGCTCTGCCTTGGAGGGTGAGGGGCAAGAGGTGTAGTGACAGTTGGTGGTGGCAAGGGGAAGTGACAAAGGGAAATTTGGGGGTTGGTGGCAACAGCAGAAGTGGTGACTGGCCGCACATGATGTGGCGAGGGGTGAAACCATGCCTATCACACCCCACCCTGGCAGGCACCTTGTCTGCCATACTTTTGTCCAGGACCCATGGAGAGACAGGCAGATTCAAATTGCTGGTTTATGAATGATTAAGGCATAACATAAAGTAAGACTGATTGGTAATGTGGACCTCTAAGATTTCGCCAAGTGCAACTCCATGCTGCCTGCATGGAAGTCACCAGGAGCGCTTGCTCAAGCTGAAGCTTTCTGGACCACCACCTGCACCTCTACCCACCCCCCAGCCCCACCCCTACCAAACCTGCTAGAGCAGGATTTCTGAGGGTGGGAAGTCCAGAAATCTGCAATGAAACAAGTCCCTCATGTGACTCTGGTACAGGTGTTCCTTGAGATCTGACTTTCAAAAAGCTGCCTGAACATAATGTTGATTTGAAATTTGAAGTTACTTAACATTCGATATGGACTCCATGCAAAGAACTACAGGAGATACAGAAGTAAGTCTTAAGATATATCACCTTACAAAGAGAAACTGACCCTAATACTAAGAGTGGTAGCAGTAGCAATGGCAGTAGCACTGATAAACAAACCTGCACTGTCAGAAGGTAGAATGGGGTAGGAAAAGTGGCAAGGAAGTCCTGTGAGCATTCCGATGAGAAAGATGAAAACTCGGGGCTCAAGAACCTCATTGGGAAGGAGGCAGCATTTCAGGATTTTTTAGTAACTTTTCCTAAAACAGAAATACATGTATAACAGTAGTCTGTGTTACTGTTAGACTTCTAAAGTCATTCTTGGAGGATTGGGAAGGATTTCAACAGGAATAGGAAAGAACAGAATTCCAGGTAGAGGGAACAACAAGCAGCACTGTGTATTGACTAGTATTCCTGCCTTTTTCTGGAATTTGCTTAGTAAGAATCCTCAAGGGCCTTAGAGCTAAGAAGGTTCCCTTTCGGGCTTGCTGATGCAATTTACATTTATTGTGTCCAGTGACTGACTTTCTTTCTTTTCTTTCTTTCTTTCTCTCTTTTCTTTTTCTTTATTCCTCTTTCTTTCTCTCTTTTCTTTCTTTCTTTCTTTGTAACTTCTGGTTCCATAATGTGTATAAAATTGGGGTATTAAATAATTAGACAACTAATGATAAAACAATGTTGCTTTAAGGGAGACTAAAGACATCTGCAGTTTACTTTGAAATATATCTAAAAAATGACAGAATGATAGGAGGATGGGTAGATGAATAAGTAGATGATAAACAAGCTTAATAATATGGTAATAGTAGAATCTAGGTAACATATTCCAGTATTCCCTGTAAAAAATCTTTCAATTTTGCTGTGTTTTGGAAATTTTTCATAATAAAATGGGGGTGGGGTGGTAATATTTTGTTTCCGTAGGTCACGTGACCTTGAGCAAGTTTCTACTTGTCTGGGTTTCACTTTACTCTGCTATCAAGGGGGTTAAAATAGTTAATCTTCATGTTCCCTTCTGGTTCCCAAATTCTCTCACCCCTTCCCTCCTTCTGACAGAGAACACAAGGGTCACTACCTCAGAGAGGCAGACACCGAAACGTCCAGGACTTAGCTCAGCTAATAGAAGTAGTCAATCTTCCTCAGAGCATGGCAGGGATGACCTGACTCAGATCCAGACAGTCACCCTGCCGTCTGTGGTTCTAGAGCAGGTGCTGTGCGAGTCAGACCTTGAAATTTGTTTTGAAACCAACCACCTGTTGCTGTGATTGTGTGGCTGTTTTCCTGGCTTATGGGATTTTACTTCAGCTGTTGTTCTCAGGCGAGAGTTTATTTCCTCTAGGAATCTACCCAGTTCACTTGCCCTAAACTTAGCATTTGTGTGTATGGGTCTTCCGGAGACTGATTCAACTATGCAACACTGAATTGTCTGCCAGAAGTCCTCAAGTCACCCACAGACTTCAGAAACAAATTTTTAAGGGGAACAGCTAAGAAGCCTCTTTCTTTTGTTGCAGATAATGATCTCTTTGAATTTTGCTTCAGGAAGAAGTAGCACAGGATCAGATATGTGAGTATAGTTGCTCCTGACTCCCCCCCCCCCCACACAGAGAGCATTGTGCTGAGTCAGCACTTTTCTGGCATTCATTGCTTTGCTGAAAATTCTTGTGCCTGTAAAGTTTTACTGCAGGCTGATCTTGTCAGACAAAGACTATTTTTTCTCTAATAGTTTGACGCACATTATATGATTTTGGAATTAAAGTGGACTTCATGACTAACTAATCCAACCCTTCATTTAAGAACTGAAGCATGTGAAGCTCATTGACATTATTAAAAAGAAAGTTGCTCAGGATCATAAACTTTGTTAAGGATGGAGCTAAAAATCTACTTATATTGCAGAGTGTACCTGTATAAAGGGAAAATTACAAAAACAAAAGCTTTTAAAGCTTTGCTTATAAACATTAGTGTATTTTCTTAAAAAAAAAAAGTCATGGTATTCTAGTTTCCTATTGCTGCCTAACAAACCACTACACAAATGAGTGGCTCCAAAGGACAGTTTATTATCTGTCGTGGTTCTGTGAGAATAACACTTAGCTCATCTGTGCAGTTCTCTCTTGGGTGTTCATGCAATTGGAATAGATAGTGGTTGGGGTAGGACATCTAAGAGGACTCTTTTTAATCTTTACTCACATATCTGGTACCTGAGCTGGATGTCTGGAAAAGCTGGGGGCTGATCAGACATCTCTTTCTCCCCATGTGAATAGGTTGGACTTCTCACACATGGCAACTGGCTTCCTCCAGAACAAGGTTTCAGGAGGACATTGTGAGGCACCTATAATCCAACTTCTGCTAGATTTTATTGGCTACACAGGACCAGCCAAGATACATGGCAAGGGACAATAATAGGGCATGAATACTGAGTCAGGGTTCACTGTGGACCATCTTTGGAGACTACCAATGACACATGACATCACCACTACTCTTTAGAAATGAAATGTTTTAATACATTAATAAACAAAAATGAGAAGGCATTCTAAAACCTATGACTTATGCTAGCGTAATGATGGAAGAACATAGAGTTTAGAGTTAGAAAAGCCTGAATTCAACTCCAAGCACTATCACTTACTAACCATGAGACCTCAAACAAGTAATTTTAATTACTTTGAGTCTAAGTTTCAATGTGTATATAATTAGAATAACATTTAGTTCAAAGTGTTATCTATAAAAGTTAAATAATGGGGGTTAATCTCTTCACACATAATAGTTGCCCAATACATTTATTTCTTCTTATCCTCAGCCATCTCTGGAATCCAAAAATCTAGTGAGGTATTTATTGAACACATGTGTGAATGTCTGATGGGCCAGGTTCTGTGCCAGGAGACGGTGATTCAAAGGTTAATAACACGTTTCCTTCCTTCGAGGAGCTCATATTCCGGGAAGAAGGAAGGAGAAGGGTGGGGGAAGAAAGTATAAACATGCAAGTACCCTAGTGAGTGAGATAACTATAATGAATGTAGACTACATGCTAGTTTGGGAGCGCAGAGGGAAAAGTCCACTCTATAGAGGAGTCCTCAGGGAAGGCTTCATAGAGAATAATGAGCTGTACCATGAAAAACAGGAATTTATCACATGCAGGAGTTGGGGAAGGGAAAATCAGTAGAGCAGAAGCAGCATGTGCAGAGTCAGAGAAGTATAAAGTATCCTCAAGAAGTGAAAGTCATTTGGTAGCACTGAAGCAAGGAACAATGGGAAATGAATTCAGGTAGAAGCATGGAGAAGGGGACTACTCTGGAAGCCATCATGGTAGCCTAAGCAAGGGATGAGAAAGGCCTGAGGCAGAGCTGTAGTGGAGATGAAGAGGAGAGGGATTAAAGAGAGATGCAGCGAGTAAAATGAAAGAACTGGCTGACCATCCAGAAGGAGGGAAAAAGGAATCCGAGACATTGCCTAGACTTCTGGCTAGGATGATGCAGTGAGTGGTATACTCATTAGCTTATAGAGTGTATAGCACATAGAGTGAAGGAAGAATGGGTGGGTGGTAATGAATTTGGTTTTGAACACACCAAGCTTGAAATGTAGGTAGGACATTCAAAGAGAATTGTTCCACATTTAGTTGAATTTATGAGTCTGGAGTTTGTGGGAGTTGGTTGGGCAGGACAGATTTGGGAGTTACTTGACAATCTGAAGAAGTCTTTTTAACAGCTAATCTTTTCCAGGCTAGCCAAGTAAATAAATGATGTCTGAGGTTGTAATGATTGTTTCAACAGCCATAGCTTTTGGCTTGAAAGACTTTTCCTTTTTCTAAAATTTTCTTCTTAATTAAAAGATGTAAACAAAGGAAAGTAAGCATAGCAGTCAGTAAAGGATGGCAGGAGTATGAGGTCTGTCCAGAAGGTATCCAGCCATGTAATATGAAAAATAAAGACATTTATTGAAGAAGATACAAGAAACAATGTACATAGGACAATGATGCTTCAGTCCCCTTCAAAGTAGGCACCTTGGGACCTCACACACCTCTCCCAATTGCCATCAGCTGCCCCACTGTCCTTTCCTGAATCTCATTGATAGTCTGAAATCTCTTTTCTTTCAAAGGTGATTTTGGTTTCAGGAAAAGCCAGAAGTCACAGGACACCAAATCCGGGCTGTAGGCAGGCTGAGTCACCTGGGTGATTTGACGTTTCGCAAAAAAACTCTGCACAAGACGTGAGGCATGAGCTGGTGTGTTGTGATGATGCTGCCAATCACCAGTTGCCTATAGCTGCAGCCTCCTGAATCATTCGAATAGTTTCCATGGAGAAATGTTCAAGTTTAATGAGAAATATGATGCAGATTCATTGCTCCACACTCTCATTTTGAATAAAACATCCACACAGTACACATGCTCACTCAACAGTGTCTATAGCCCCCATTGACTAGTAGAGTGAAGTTGTCATTATTCATGCATGCACATTCCAGTCCACTCTCCTTGGCTGTCAGGTTATACTGATGTCACGCAAACCATTCTTGTAATATTAACAATGGCTGTACTTTTTCCAGACAGGCCTCATATACTACACAGACCTAACATCTGACGATCCCCACAGCAAGAAAAAAAAGTTTTTTTAATTCTTGTATTGCAAACTAAAAGTACCCATCACACCATAATTGATGGTCCATTTAGTTAATTCCATAATAATCACATCATATACAGGCATACATTGGAGATATTCTGGGTTCAGTTCCAAACCCCCACAAGAAAGGAAATCATAATCTTTTTGCTAGTGGAGAGTCTTGCCTCCAATTTGTAAAAAACACATCTTTGAAGTGCAATAAAGTGAAGCACAGTAAAATGAGGTATGCCTGTGCCCAAAACAGTTCATGGAAGTGGAATTTGATTCTTCCTAGCTTTAAGGGTAGCACATGGAATTAGGGTCTAATAAAAGTGACAGAATTATTGAGACTGGTTTAACTATTTTAACCGAAGATCAGTACCATTCGTACTTATTATTCTCAAGACCCTGTAAGAGCAGTCTTTAGGAATGAGGGTCTATGAGTTCTAATTCCTACTCTCTTACTATCTTACATAATTAGTTCTCAAACTTTTGGGAGCTTCAGAGTCTTCTAGAAAGCTTTTTAAAATCCAGATTTCAGAGCCTCAGCCCCAGTTACTTTCATGTAGTGGGTCTGGCGTAGGGCCCAGCTAGCTGCAATTTTAACAAGTATCCCAGGTGATTCTGATAAAACTGTATGACCATTGGCAAACCAAGTCATTTCTTAGGGCTCAGTTTCTTCATCTACAAAATGGGAATGACACCTTCCTTGCCTATTTTGGGGGGGCTTTTTGATGTCCAGAATTACAGTGATATGTGAAGGGTTTAGACTGCGTGTTCTCCACACAAATATGGTTTTGGTATTGTCTAGGGCGGTGCATCAGAATCACCTTAAGGCCTTGTTAAGACACAGTGCTACACTTGACAATTTCATTGTTAAGTTGCTGAATCAGTTTTTGATTCAGTATGTCTGAGATAGGGCCAGAGAATTTACCTTTCTTTCAAGTTCCCAAGGGATGGTGATGCTGCTGTCTGGGGACCACTCAGAAACACTGTCCTTAGGCCAATTAACTGAAAACTACTGAGCTGGTTCAAAGGGTTCTTGATCTTACCTTGTAATTGGCTGGGCATAGGTTCTCACTGTTCACAATCCCCAAAACTTCATTCATCCATCCATTAAATATTTTCTGAGCATCTTTGATGTGCTGGCCACTGTTTTGGGCACTGGAAATACAACCCTCAGCATTATGACCCAAAAATAAATTAATAAAATGAATCCAGATAACAGTAAGTGGCATGAAAAATCTAAAACAGGGTTATGGGATAGAGTGGCTGGGTTAGGGGTGGCTCCTCATACAGAATGGTGAGGGAAGCCTCCAAGGTAGTAACATTGAAGGTGATACCAAAATGAAATAAAGGAGCTAGCCATACTAACAGGGTCAAGGGCACTCCAGGTAGAGTGAACAGTGAGTACAAATGCTGGGAGGCTGAAATTAGTGAATGAGCAGCAGAATGCTGTGGGATAAGAATGGAGAAGTGGGCAGGGCAAAGAATGTGGGATCTGACAGGCTTTGGTGGTGTCAACTATGAGTCAGGTCTATAGCACGGTATATGGTAACCCTTCCCAAACTTAAACATGCATGCAAATCACTGAGGATTCCCTTAAATGAAGACTCTGACTCAGTAGACATAGGGAAGGGCCTGAGAGTCTACCTTTCCACCAAGCTAGATGTTGCTGATCCTGCTGGGATCCAGAGCACACTTTGAGTAGCAAGAGCATAGAAAACAATGTTAGGCAAGTAAATAGCTTCTGTCATCCTGTAATTAAGAAAAAGTGGTATTTTTTTTCCTGGAAGTGTGGATAAAAGTTAAAAGGAATAGTAGTGATTGGGAAACTGAGGAAAAATCATGATGTTGGGCAATTCCAGACCCTAAAAATTATTATTCAGGAGGATCTATGGTATTCCTTTAAGCATACAGATAAAAAGATTAAAAGATTATCACCAAAATAAAGAATCTTAATAAAATAAGAATTCCCTTGATAATTTATTTAAAAGCAACTGGAATAGGTTTCCAGAATAAGTTTGACTGCTCACAGGTTAGTGCTGCTGCTTCATCCTTGGTTCCCACCATTCCGACTTTTCCCTGCTTGTAAAAGTAGTGACTGTCTTCACAACCTCTTTAACCTTCTATGGCTCCCAATGGCCGTGGCCCACAGCCAGAGTTCAGAGCTGCCTGCCACTGCCTCTCTCACATATACTCTCCAGCCCTGCTAACCAATGTTTCCAGCCTTTCTCCCTCCATTCCCTGGGTAAGAACTCAGGACTTGGTGGGGTAAGAGGGGAAGCAGAGGACTAAGACAGCAGGGAGATATGGGTATTGCAGAGGCCCATTGCTTCCATGGGACTGCCCAGAGTACAGCCTACAAAATACAACCAGAATCTGCTTCCCCTCCTCTCCTATCCTCATGCTGTGGTGGTAACTGAGTAATTTTATGTTATGAGCCGTATGACTTTTTGTTTTAAGGAATCTTCCTAGATTGCATCTAGAAGTGCAGCACATTAAAAAAAAAAAAAAGTCTTAAATAAAATCGGATCTCTCTTTGTAAACTTCTATACCACATGATAGATCCCTTATTTGTTATCATAAGCACGTGTTTCCCCCAAATTTCCTGTTTTTTAGATGATTTGTGAATTGAAAATTTTGTCCGTGGGAGGAAAGCCACATTATTGAAGCTGTAAACAATAGAATGACTACGGTTTTAATCCTTTGAATAAGGCTTTGTTTCCCATTGACTAAAAACTTCCTAAAGGAAGGAAAGCTAGGAACATTCAGGAAGGATTTGTATTTTATTTTACAACAGCTTTGTGAAGGGGAAAAATCATTTGGAAACCTTAGACTCCCTTTCCTGGTTGATGGGCTTCAGAACACACAGCCATGCTGGGCCCTGACTGCAGACGGTGGCTCCCCACCCACCAAAGACTTCCTGACCCCAGTGCCAGCTTTGTTTGGTTATTGTCACACTGACACCAATAGACGTTCATCCTGTACCAGGGTTTCATATATTCTTGGGACGTGCTAGGAACAGGTGCACACACTGTTTATCTCAAGTTACAGTATTTACACAGATCAAAAATGTTTCCCTAATATAACCCACAATCTTATATCATATACTCCATAATTCATGAATTATGTTAAAAAGATGTATTAATAACAATTGCAAAATAAGTCATCACCCAATAAATTACCTTAAATCCCCTCCACCAGATCTGTATTTTCATTGACTTTATACAGCAACATCATTTTCTTTAAAAATAAAGTAAAATCAACTAGCTGAATCATCCTTACAATTTTGGGGAAAGGATCTGTGGATAAGAGAATCTGGCCTTAAATCCCAAAATGCTGATGTGGCCATTCTTGCTTTGTATGGATTCTGTGCCGGAGGCATAAATTATGGAGCCCAATGCACAGGCTGTCAGGCCTCACTGCAGAAGTGAAAAGGGCCTCTTGGACACCTGCCCCTTCTGAGATTCTGAGTAATATCATCCTTACTCATGAACCCCCACTGAATGAAGAATACTACCTCCACCTCTTATGGCCATCAGCCCTTTAAGGCTTTGCCTCAGGTATGTGTCTGGGGACATAATTTAAATATTCATTATCCTGAGATTATGTTTCAGGTAGCAAACCTGTTCCTTAAGTGAAATCCCAGAGAGAGAATGTGCAGCTGAGGGGAGGCTTTGGTCTTTGTCAGCTGTAATTAGGGAAGACAACACCTCTTCATCCACATGGTTCTGTCTGTACAGCATTACCTATGCCAGTGGGGACAGCCATCCTCCCACTGTTCCTGACACACTGGGGAAAAGAGACCAGGCCTTCGCTGGAAGATGAGATCCATTTCTAGTGTTTTCCAAAGCCTTGCCTGCTTTGTCTTCAGTCAGGAAGACCGCCAAGTTACTTTCAGTAGAAGATTGAAAAGGCTATTTCTATATTAGAGTTTTTTAGTCTTTTGTCCAAGCATGGACTCTTTCAAAAGTTTGTTGATAATTATGAATCATCTCCCCTCCCAAAATGTACATACATGTAGACACACAAAATGTTGCATACCATTTCGAGGGGGGAATGGACTCATTTGACTAAGAACATTCCATGGAGACTTACATATTTTTTAAACTTGTAAAAGTAAATTTCATACCACATCGTTCCACAGCATTTAAGCAATGAAAGTAAGAGAGAAGATTCTAAAAGAGTACTTTTCTAAAATAGATTGTGACGGTTGTCTTTTTCCTGAGCAAACATTGTGTAGTAGAGCATGAAACACCAGCTTCACCCTTTGCTGCTTACATTCTAAGGCTGCATGGTAATTCATGGTTATATAGATGTCCAATATACCCTGTATATGTAAATAATAGCACCCTGATGGTTGCTTGGTGTATCTGAGGCCAAGAGCATTGCCTATAGGACTTAGTTTATTCCTCATGACAACCACACAAGGTAAATATCACTAACCTGTTCAACAGCTCAGGAAAGCGAGACTCAGAGTGGAAAACAACTTTCCCAAAGCCACACATCAATTAAGCAGCCGAGATGGAGCTCTGATACCAGGACTGCCTGCTTCCAAAGACCTTGCTCTGAATTCAGCAACATCAGACCTCCTTATTGTGACATCTCCAGGACGGGTGCCTGGGGGGACCTGTAGGCAGTAGTCCATTTGGAAAGTGACACTGGGAGCTTGTCTGAAGGCTCCTATTGTATGACAAGCACAGAGGCTTCCACTTCCCTCTGCTTTGTGTCTACCTGGCATGGCTTGGGCTGCTCCAGCCCTGTTATTAGAAGCAGCCGCCATTCCTTCCTTTAGTCTGATGAGTGCCAAGGGACTTTGTGTTGTGCTCCCATCTGGCTCTCACTGTCCTAAGGGTGTGTAAAGAGCTCACACTGGCACCTCCTCGGTCCTCCCTGCCAGCTCTGCTTCTCTGCCCCTGCCTCCTGGTCACTGCCTGCTTGTCACTCTGCTGCCCTCTGCGGTGGCCACACAGGGATAGAGAACCTGTGGAAACCAGGCAAATGCTCTATTCTTCCCTGAACTGTGAGCATAGAAAAACATTTAGGCATTTAGACTTCTAACATTAGGCTTTTCTAAATGTAAGTGGTAGCATGGGACATAGCCCAGAATGTAGTATAAATAAATGAGGCAATCACAATCTTGAAGAACTTTCTTAACTAAAAGGATCTAGTAACAAAAGTGAAAAAAACTACATTCCCTTAAGTCACTTTCAGATTAATCTGATGAACTGGAGACATTATCTATGGGAGGCAGTACATAGCAGCATTTAAGCATATGGCTCTGTAATCTAACACTTGGTTCTAATGGTGATTCCACCACTTGCTGTTGGACTTTGTACAAGTTACTTCACCTCCCTGTGCCTTGGCTTTCCCATCTGTAAACTGGATATGATAATAGTAGCGAGCTCAAAAAACTGTTCTAAAGATTAAATATATTAATAAATACATTACACTTAAAACAGTGCCTGGCATATCATAAGCATTCAAAATGTGTTCATTGGTATTGTGATTATCAGTTAGCCATTTTCATAATCACTGAAGGGTGAACTACCTTACCCACAGAGCCAAAAGGAGATTGTAAACACCCAAAAAGTAAGTTACATTTCCTTGCAGAGGTCTGAGGGTGGTGAGGTAAGCAGGTGAACTTGTGCAAGGCCTCGAAAACAAGATGAGTGGAGCCTCAGTGGTCCAGTTAGGTATTGCTGCACTACAAGCTACCTCCAAATGTAGAGACAAAACAGCAGCAATTCATTATTTCTCTTGTTTCTATGGGTTGATCAGACAGTTCTAGTTCATAGAGTGTTGGCTAGGGTCCTGAGTTGGCTACAACATCCAAAAAAGGCCTCATTCACATCCTAGCTGGGAGCTTGGCAGGGGTTTTTGGCCAATGGCTTTGGTTTTCCTCCAGGAGGAAAACCTCTTCATAATGCTTCCTGGGCCTCCTTACAGCACGGCAGCTGGTTCTGAGAAAGAACTTTCTAAGACATGAAGGCAGAAGATGTTGATTTCTTAAGGCCCAGCCTTGGAGGTGGCTCAGCATCAGTTCTGCTGCATCCTAGTAGTCAAAATACATTGGCTCCAGGGCCTCTGTAGATGGCGCAAGTCCCTTATAGAAAATGCCATAATATTTGTATATAACCTATAAAACCCTGCACATCCCT